GATATTCTCCATAGGGTAACAAGAAAGGCATTTGAACAGAGACATGAAGTGAAAATCTGTGGGAAGATGGTCCAAGCAGGAAAAAAATAGCAAGTGAAAATGCAGAAGCAGGAATGAGCTTGGTGGTCTAAGAATCAAAGAAAGGGCTATATGGCTAGAATAGAGGGAGGGAGGAAAGCATAGAGGTCATGAGTGTGGAAAATTCACCAGCAGACTAATTGTACACAAAAGTCACGAAAAACAAATTGAACCTGAAGTCTGGGGCAAAACCATTTGAGCACCAATTTCCATTCTCAAATGATTACCTTGGTTGCTGCACACACAAAAAATGATAGACCCCTGAGAATGGAGACTGGGTGACTAGTAACTAAATCTGTCAGGCAACTGCTTCCAAATCACCTAGGATACTTACTGAAAGGGCAGATTACTAAACCCCACTCATCCCCCAAACTTACTGAATCTGAATCTTGTAAGAATAAGGCAAATGATGCTATTTTGGGCTGACTCTCCAGGAGATTCTCTCTGGCTGTCAGATTTACACAGTGACCATTGTATGAGCACCCACAAAAGGACTTTAGCTCAGTATCAGATGTATGCTCTCTGTGAAATGTGTGTATTTTGACTTGCTTCTTTGCTTTAACCACATTTCATCCAACATTAACAATGGTGCAGGAGCTTCTTCTGGTTTAAATTTTTCTAGTTCCAACTTTAATTTAGGCTTGATTTTATTATTTATTCTACCTTCATTATTATTTTCCATGATTTTTATTTTTATTTCTTATAAATACTATTTTTCAGTATGTATGCATCCATTTTATTGTTTTGAAGAATTAAAATGTCACTTCAGCAACCTTCATAATAATATAATGCACTGTATATATACTTAATTTAGACTTATGTTCATTACTAGAGGCCTGATGCACGAAATTCTTGCAAGGGGCTCGGCCCTCGCAGTCCCAGCCGGCCCTCATGGCCCCTCGCAGCCCTGGCTTCATCTGGAAGGTCATCTGGACGGTAGTTCTGCTGTTCAGTCTAATTAGCATATTAGCTCTATTATATAGGATAGCTTCAAATTCTTTTCTGATATAAGGAAGGGTTCATATTATTTTTTTCCAGCAGAGTTGCGCAGCGGAAGCGTGCTGGGCCCATATTATTTTTTTCCTTTAAGAAACATTAACATTAGCCCAGCTGGAGTGGCTTAATGGTTCAGCACTGACCCATGAACCAGGAGGTCATGGTTTGATTCCATCAGGGCACATGCCCAGTTGCTGGCTCAATCCCCGGTAGGAGGCATGCAGGAGGCAGCAGATTGATGATTTTCTCTCATTGTTGATGTTTCTATCTCTCTCTCCCTCTCCCTTCCTCTCTCTGAAATTAATTTTTTAAAAATTAGCATTAATTTTATTATCTTTCTGCACACTACAGCTCTTCAAAGAATAACTGGATGAGTTTACTCCTAATGCCATTTGAAAATTTTGTCACAGCATGGAGGGACCTGGAGAGTATTATGCTAAGTGAAATAAGTTAGTCAGAGAAAGACAAGTATCACATGATCTCACTCATATATAGAATCTAAGTAACAAAATAAATTGCAGAATAGAGTGGATCCATAAACATGGAAAAATGGAACAGAGTGTGGAATCTCGGAGAGAAGGCAGGGGAGGGTGGGTGGGTGGGAGGTAATCAACCAAGGACCTTATATGCATATATGCATGGCCCATGGACACAGACAATAGGATGGTGAGGGCCTGGGTTGGGGGTGGAGGGGCTGGAGGGGGTCAATGGGGGGAAAAGAAAGGGACATATGTAATACCTTTAAAAATAAAGAATTATTAAAAACTTAAAAATTAAAATTTTGTCACTACGACATATATATCTGATCTGCTTTGCTGCATAACATATATTTCCTAAACCTAAATGAAAATAAATCAAGTTTTAAAGTATGTCTTTATAATAAGTGAAATTTTATCATGATACTCATTTTTGGTCCAATACAATGTGTAAGTGGTTTCATACCACATTCAACCCTAGTGGATTTTGATAAAAGTAGGAGAGCTCTGCATAGATAATGAAAAGACTTAAAGTGATTTTGGCTATTTTCTTATTCCAGAAAACATGGAATGATATTGTATCTTAACAGTAATATTTTAGTAGCTCCTAAACTCAGGCAAAAAAGGGAATCCAGTTTATACCAACCCAAGTACCTACAATAATGTAATAGAAGCATTTACCACCAATATTTCACACTATTGCCCTCTATGCTTCTAATAACAAGGCTTTCTCACCAGAAATATTGAACTAACACTGGACTCTCAAATTTCTAGGTGTGAAAAAAATCACTTAAAAAAAAGTGTGTTTGTCATTTCAGAGTGGTAAAGATTAAAATGTCCATTTATATTATTTCTAACTTCAGCTCTAGGCTCAGAGATGTGTTGCCATTTGATCAGCCAAAATAAGAATTTGTTTTGCCTGTATCCCGCAAGATAAAAATGATAAATTAGCAATGAGTTCATTCTTTCCCAAAAAGAAATATGTTCTAAATTCATATCTATAACAATAAAAGCATAATATGCTAATTAGACTGGACAGCCAGACGACCTTCTGGATGTCCTTCCAGACGACCTTCTGGACGAAGCTGGGCTGTGAGGGCTGAGCCCCTTGCAAGAATTTTGTGCATTGGGCCTCTAGTACTATCTATAATAATAAAAGCATAATATGCAAATCAACCGGACAACCAAACAGCAGAACAACTGTCTGGATGACCTTCCAGATGACCACACTATGACACCTACTGGTGCCAGGCCAGCCAAGGCGGGTACGATGCTATTGGTGGGGGGCCTGGCCATCGCCCCATGATTGCCCTGCAAGGGGAGGCCCAGGCGATCGATCAATCAGGGGACTACACAATTGCCCCAAAGAGGGAGGCCCAGGCCGCTGACTGGCAGGCTGCGGCAGGTGGGCGGGGCCTCCCTCTGCAGGGCATGATCAATCTCATGATCGCCCTACAGAGGGAGGCCCAGGCCACTGCCGGCAGGGCGATCCATCGAGGGGGCTCTACGATCACCCCAAAGAGGGAGGCCCAGGCTACCCAGCTGGCGGTGCTGCTGCGGGTGGGTGGGACCTCCCTCTGTGGGGGCAATCCATTGCAGAGCCCCGGCTGGGTGGGCAGGGCCTACCTCTTTGGGGCCATTGATCGTAAGGCTCCTGGACTGTGAGAGGCTGGGCTGAGGGACACCCCCCCCGAGTGCACATATTTCAGGCACCGGGCCTCTAGTAAACTAATAAATTTATCCACATACTATACATTTCATATTTATACTATGTACCATTTAGCGGAGGAAATACTTCATGAGGGTTTATTCAAATGATTTATAATAATATCCTAAGAATGTCAATTTATACATATGAATTCTGTATAAAGTGTAAATGGTCATCTTAGCAGGAATATAAGAAGTCCCTATAATGCAAAAGCTGATTGTAAAGCACCTTATAAAGCAGTGAAATTTATATAATTTAGTCATTACTTTTCTACAATAGAAAGTTATCCAGTATTCTTCACTGTTAACTTCATGCTAATATGTTCCAAGTTTAGAATCCTTTACCAATAAAAGAAATAGGAAAGAAATTAATAGCTTCTTTTACTTCAAGTAAGAGGAAAAACTCTTATCACACAGTAATGAAACCAAGCAAATGTGGGTCTGTGACTATAAGAATGCCTATCATTAATAAATTATTCAAATTCCTCCATGGCACTTAAATTGTAATTTAAAACCCAATAAGCAAGAAACCATAAGAAAAGGACCAAACTCTACCATGAAATAAGGAATTATAATAAAGTCTATTCAGCCCTAAGTATTTAGTTGAAGACAATGGCTGGAGTAGCACACGCTTCGTCTAAATGATACCATTTAAACAGTGCTAAAATATAATGTTACTTAAGACTAATAAATATGGTACATTATGTGATTCCAACCATTCTGAAAAAAAATGTACTAACAAGTACTGTAACAGCATCCCCACCAGCTTGGAGCCTACAAAGTCAATTACATTGGCCATATCTTTCCAGATGATTTAGGAGTGCCTTTTAACATTACAAACATAAATCTATCACAGTGTTGGAATTCCGATGTATTTTTGTGCTTCTGGAGCTGCCTAAAAATGAAAAAGCATCCAAGTGAAATGCATTATATACTTATTATACTCAAAATTGCAGTGCCTAAAATGTGAAATAATTCTCTACCATTTAGCTGTCTGCCTTACACTATATTCTAGATTGCTACTTATATTTTGAAAAGTTAGTGGCAAACCATGTTTTTTTTTAAAGATAGTATGTGGCTGTGCTTAAGTTTACATAAAAATAGCATCTTTACAACCATACTGAAATTTAATCCTACAAAAGGTAACAGAATATATCACACACACAAGAAAACACCCCAAAACAAAAACAATACTTTTGAAAAGGAAACAATGTAAATTTATTTCAGGAACTCATATTACAAAAGGTCCTCTGGGTCATTTTACCACACTAAAGTAACAAAGTTGTTAAAATACAGCATATTACAGTATAGAACTTGAAATAATTCCTATGAAATAATTCCTAAAGTCATTGGTGTTATAGCTCTCTCTATAAGAAGTGCTTTTCCTTCCTAATATAGTCAAAGTTTAATTATAAGTTTGACTATATTTAAGTCTTTTTTTCCTCCTCATCTCTTCAGTTCCCTTGTTAATATGGTCTGTACAGTATTTTGTCTGATCTGAACTATATGATCCAGGAAGTGAGGTTGGGGAAAGTAGACCTTGCATTGGTGGAGGAGGTAAAAATCCTTTTGATATAGGCCATATACCAGGATTTGTTTCATTTGGTTGTGTAAAGGGAGGGCCCAGAGTTTCTTAGTCTTCAGTTAACTAGGGTAAAAAGTTAGGATTGTGATGGTTGAAAGCTCATTTTCAAGCAAGTGAACCACCATGTTGAGACAGAGGAGATCCTGGAGGAGAAGAGTTCATATAAGGTGGCACCTGAGCAATAATCTATCCAGGGGGAAAGTTACTGTTAATGGATATAAAGTCATGGGTGGAGGTGGCTGATCCATTGTGCTTGTGTGGCACACATTGCCTAGGACAGCGATCGCCAACCGGTGGTCTGAGGACCACTGGTGGCCCATGAGGCCTGAAAGGTTGGCGACCGCTGGCCTAGGAGGTGCAGACAGCATGGTGTACTGCTCTGGTGGAATGTGACTCACATGGTCCTTGACCAGCAGCATTACAGGGCTATCAGCTGTTGATGAGGAAATACAAGGATGAACCTTTTCCAGTGGAGCACAAGTAACAAGTTTTTCAGTTTTCCTATGGCAATGGTTGATATGAGCTTATAAGTCTCTTTGAGAAAAATATGTTTTCTTGCATCCTTGGACAGCGCTACACGTGAAGATAGAACTGTGCATGCTCAATTTGCAGCACAGGAACACTACGGCCTGGACACATCTCCATTTTCAGGGGGATTTAGTTTGTTTGTTTGTTTTTGCATAAGTTAGCACACTCATAGCAAAAAGCATGCTTGCAAGGAATCATGTGCCCACAGATTTTAATAGGAAAATCAAATTTGTCACAGAAATGAACTAGTGAATCATCCCTTTTACCTATGATGTTTACCTTAAAGTCTTCCCAAAAGCATTCAGGAAAAATTTTCTGTTTTCTCAACAGTTCACCTCCATTACAGTCAGACCCTTCTTTGTCATATTCAAATTCTTCACCAGCAGACCTCCTGTTCACAGTCCTTAGAGTTTGGCACACAAATCTGCCTTTGGTCACCTGCTTGAAAATGAACTTTAAAGGAATTCTTCAAAGATCAAGGCCACACAAGGATCCAGAAATCTCAGCACATGGTAACCAATTATCAGCATCTGTGGGGTCCACGTTGGCATAATGGAGCCCATTATGGAGCCCAGGAGACAGAGGTTAGATAAGATCCCACTCCCAACCTATGTAGCTATGACCTCCAAGGGCTTTCTTCCTCTCCCCTGCCCTATCACACCTCTCTGAGGAGGGAGCCAGGCATAGTTTGGACAGGGGGGAAAGAAGCTTCGGTGTTGAGGTTGCAAAGGCTCCTCTTCATGTGCCATAAGAGAAAGTGGTCTTTAACTGTAAAAGAGACTGATGGGAACAGGGAAGTAGGCACAGCCAAAAGAATAAGTTCCCAGCAGGTCCCACAGAGCATTGCCTTCTGGGATATCCTGATTTTTTATCGGACTGCATTTTTTAAACTGCCTTAAATCTCTTGATGGTATATGTGTGCATGTGTGAGAATGTGTATGTGTACACATATATGTATATGTGTGTATACATATGTACACAGGTATATACACTGAGTGGCCAGATTATTATGACCAGCCAGATTATTATGACCACCCAATCAGTACTTCATTGACACTTCCAAAAATACTGAATATTGAAAACTTCCTAAGCAAATACTCTCAAGGTTTTATTATTATTATTTGCATAACTAATTCACTTCATTGTACTGATGGGGTGGTCATAATAATCTGGCCATTCATAATAATCTGGCCACTCAGTGTATATTTACATATACGCATACACATCTTTAAGATTTTGTCATGATACAATTAATTTTAAATCATCTTTGTCTTGAGGAAAGGAATACCATATTTATCTTACAAAGGAAGAGTCATGTAAAAAGTAGTTAAAATGGTAATTTCACAGGGCTAAACATTTGGTATCCTTGCTTAAAGAATGATGATGGGAATTTAGGCCAAATTTCCTCAGGTTTCACCTTCCTGCAGGTAGAAACAGGACCTCAAAAATAATCACTTGGCTCCACCCCGACCTCAAGGGGTCTCTCCTGAAGACATTCACCTTTTTGGCTATGTCAACTGTCAAGTATCCGCAGAAAACACCAGGGGGAAAATCACTGATCAATCAGAGAAAGTTTTTAAGACTTAACTGCAGTATAGGAAAACATTGCCTTAACAGAATCTAAATAGTGTCTTAGAAGAAGGATGATAGCAGGCTAGAATCTCAGGGACTGGGCTGGCTGATTTCAGGGCAGGTCTTTAAAGGTTAATTGGGCAGGTTTTATAACATGACAGCTATAGATTGGTAGGCACAGGGAGGTGAGAATACTGAAGTGAATATTAACGGGGACCAGGTTATTCTTGTTAAGTAAACTCTTTTCTTTGGCTCATGATTTTATCTTTTAGGAAAAAGTATTTCCTGGAAAAAATCACTAAGTTTTGCTTATTAGAATTATTTAACACTAGAGGCCTGGTGCACGAATTCATGCACAGGTGAGGTCTCTTGGCCTGGCCGGTGATTGGGACCAATGGGGGGCAGGGGGCAGCTGGCTGGGGAGAGGGACTGCGGGAGGTTGGCCAGCCGGCTGTGGGAGGTTAGCTGTGGGAGCACACTGACCACCAGGGGGCAGCTCCTGTGTTGAGCGTCTGCCCCCTGGTGGTCAGTGCGCATCATAGCAACTGGTTGACCGGTCATTCGGTCGCTTAAGCTTTTATATATATAGATAGAAACAGAAAACTATCCCCAGTCCCATTATTGTTCTGCTTGATGACAGGAAATTATGTTGGTTTACTTTTCTCTGGTCTGGCTTGTTGGGCTGTTGATTCTTGGCTACACCAATGGCAAAAGCACAATAATGCCATGAGAGTTACCACAGGCACCAGTACCCACCAATGACCAAAGTCACTGTTGCCCCAGGAAAGAAACAATACTCACCAGAGGTGCTGCTGAGTCCAAGAAGAACAATGCGCTTCTTTCCCCTCTTTCCTCTCACTCTATTACATGGACTACAAAGCACTTCAGACTCAGCATTTCCAGTGTGTTAAAGAGGTTTTGCTGAAATCGCTCTTTTAATATTTACTTGCTCTTAACGATTGCCCCTGACAAAGACTCAGGTAGTGCAAACTGATGGTGGGTGGTTTAAATTTGAATGTTTAATGCCATTCACCTCTGCCACCTCCTCTATTTCTTGAGCCTTTTCAGTATTCCAGCAATGCTACCTTCTCTTAGGACCATTCACTCTCTGAAGGCAACTTCATCCCCCATGCAAATGCATTCCTCACGGGCCCATCTCATGGAGTCTCCACCTAACCTACCTAAACTCTACAGCCATCACACTTTATTCTCTTAAGCCAGGCCTCCTATTACATGTTGATTTAAATTGTATTAACGTGAAATTTTGTTGGCTTTTTAAAAAAGCTGTATTTTTTAATAAGCCAAAGTGGTTCTTACCAAAGTATGGATGTTCTACCCCTATTATAACTGGCAAGTCAAAATTCCGAGCAAAAACTAAAACATAGCATTAAGACATATGCAAATGTTCCTCTTTTACAATTACTATTACTTGTTTGCCAGGCAGTTTATGAGGGTTCAGTATTTTTTTCATTGATGTGCATATAATTCAAAGACCATGAATACGAAGGGGGGAAAGTCTGTCAAATATAATGTCCATACTTCTTTCCTTTCCCAGAACCAGTGTTTTTCTGTCTAAATTGAGACATTTCTCATATGACAAAATGTCCTTACACCTGACCCTGAGGGAAAAAAATGCCAGGTTTCTTTCCTAGTTGGCTAAATTTGCTTTTGCTGCTCATCGGGTCTACTTCAAATTATTTTGTAATAAATTCTAAGCTCAGCCTTTGCGTCATGAAAGCATTCTTCACTATAGACAAGTGATGTTAAGTTCTAGTCTAGACACCCCACACCCAGGAGCTGCTCTGGTTCAGCACTTGCAATAGCTCTGCTTACAGTATGTGCTTGTTTATAGCTGGGAAGCCTGACCTGAAAGCCCTTAATAAATATTATTTGGTGAAATTGTTGATAAAATAAAAGGTACTGACCTTCCATTTATCCCTATCAGATTAAGAAGCTATCTTGCTATACAGTGGGGCCTTGACTTACGAGTGTCCCGACTAATGAGTTTTTCAAGATACGAGCCGTCTCTTGGCCGATTTTTTGCTTTGAGTTGAGAGCTAAAATTTGGGTTACGAGCCAGCTTCAGATACCCCAACGCTAGTTGGCGCAGCGAACGTCACAGTGAACGCCACAACATCAGCCCAGCATCACGTGTCATTGTAATGGTGAAAATTGATTTGACATACGAGTAATTTGAGTTATGAGCTCCGTCACGGAACGAATTGAACTTGTAAGTCAAGGCCCCACTGTACTTGAAAAGCTGCCATTACAAATTGATCCCTATTTAGTGCTTTTAAACAAAAAGTTAAATGGGCTTCCATTCAGCCACCTCCTTTAGGGCATAGCGATTCTGTCCTTCAATATCATTCTCTTAAAAGTTCCTAGACTTACATTGGATTGACAAAAGATTCAGTGTCAGCCTATAACAGTGACTGGATATCAAAATATTTGGGTTTGGAGATTTAGAAGAAATTGCATCTTTTGAAATTGCTTGGACTCATGGAGGCCTGTTTGAATTCGACTGCTTCAAAAAAAATCTAAATGAGGTTGGCGATGAAGAATTATGGACTGCACAATGAAGATCAACGTGCACAATTAATGCTGGGAAACAGGATGAGACATCTCCGTTTAAGCCACGTTGCCATCTGGCCCAGACGCAGTCATTCTACCAGAGTGACACCAAAGGTCAGCGGGAGCGAGAGCCGTATGTCCCTCTGCCAGGCTCCTGGATTTTATTTCTCATTTAAGGGAATCTGATCTGTCATTCTTCTGGCTCCTGTGGGCTTTAAATTCACATAATCAACATATCACTGCCAGAGACTTAGTAATAGCTGAGGCAGTTTAAAGGTGAGTGGAGAATAATTGTGCTCCCAAGCCAGATGCCTTCAGTTTTGCAAAGAAATAAAAAGTCCATCTCTGGTCCAAAAAGTAAAGCAAATTGCCCTGTTTGAAAAAGACCTTGGCTGTCCTCCCAAATGTGCCAGTAGCTATATTTTATGGCCAAGGAGGGCTGGCCCTTTGCAAAAGTTTAGAGCAGCGGTTCTCAAAATGTGGTGCACAGGCCCCTAGGGATTCCCAAGGTTCTTTCTGAGGGTCCGTCAGGTCAAAACATCAATACTAGTATGATGTTATTTGCTGTTTGACATTTGCAATGATGTTACAAAAGCAATGGTGGGTAGTACTGCTGACATCTTAGCACTAAGCAAGGCAATGGTACCAAACTATACCAGTCATCGCTGTATTTTTTACTGCCACCCAGTAAAAAGAAAATAGCAGTTTCATCTAAGAATGTCCTTGATGAAACTCTAAAAATTATTAACTTATTAAATCTAAACCCTTGAGTCCTCATCTTTTTCATCGTTTGTGTGACAACATAGAAAGTACTCATAAAGCACTTTTGCTGCATACCAAAGGACAATGGCCGTCTCAAGGAAAAGCATTGATGTTGCCATTTGAGTTGGAAGGTGAACTATCTGCTTGTTTCGTGGAACACTATTTTCACTTGAAAGAGCAAGTGACAAACTATGGCTATTCAACCTTGGGTATTTGGCAGATATTTTCTCAAAAATGAACAAAGTTAGCCTGTCACTTCAAGAAAAACAACTGACAATATTTATTGCCAATTATAAAATTCAAGCTTTTGAATGAAAATTAGAATTTTGAAAATCATGCACCTGTCACCATGATCCTGACAGCTTCCTAGTACTTATATGATGAGATCAGTGGTGATTAATAATGAATGTATTTTTTAATTGTATGATAAAATGTGTCAACATTTAGAAGTTCTTCATAACTCAGTGAACCAATATTTTCCAATGGTTGATGTTATAAAATCATGCATGATTAAAAGACCCATTTAAAATCAAGACAACAATGAATTTTAATGTAACAGAGTATGAAAGTTTCATTAATATGCTTCAGATTCCATATTGCAAATAACCTTTAAGAAATTATCACTTGTTGAGTTTGAGTTTAGTTTCAAAGAAAACTATACACAATTATCTAAAAGGCTATTCAAATGCCCCTCCCTTCTCCAACAAATCTATAAGAACCTACATTTTCTTCCTTTATTCCACCAAAACCAAATATCACAAAAGATTGAATGCAGAAGCAGATATGAGAATCAGGATGTCTTCTATTTAACTAGACATTACAAAGATTTGAAAAATTTTACAACAATGCTGCTCTTCTCAGTAATTTTTTCCTTTGGGGAAATATATTTTCATAAAAGTGTGTTGATTTATTATTGTTATGTTTAAATTAAATAATAAAAAATTTTTTAAATTTCTTGACAGATATACTCCATATAAACAACAACTCTTTGTGGTCATCAATATTTAAGAGGGTACAGGAATCCTGAGTAAAATGTTTGAGAACTACTGCTCTTGGTGATCTTTAACATATTTTCACCTTCCCTCTCAGAGACACGCCACCTCGCCTTACATTAACTGCCCCAAACTCTCTCTCATGCAAATTGAATTGCCCAGAAGGTCTCAGATGGTCCCCATCTTCAAAATAAGCAGATGGTGATATGGGAAGGGAAAGAAAGATCAAGATCACTTAAAACACCAAATACTGTGCTATGAATCCAATATATGGTACCTCATTTAATCTTCACAACAGCCCTATGAAATGATGATGATGATGATGATAATGTGCCCAAATAAAGGGGCATCAGGACACATGGGGAGCTAATGTTATTGCAAGGGTCAACAAAACCACAGGTTCACTAAGAATTATCTGTATACCAAATAAATAAAGGGTGCCCCAAAATTCACGCAAGAAGTAATTTTGATAGAAAACACAGGTTTATAATTAAAAATTGTAAATTTTTTATTTATTCATAAAGTATACAGTATAGGGTTATGTATGGAATAGCATATTGGGTAAATGGATTATCATGTCGCGATAGCCAGCACCATTAACTGTTACTGCCTGAGCAGCTGCATTTTCGAAGAAGAATGGTCCAATGATGCCTCCAGCCCAAAATCCGCACCAAACAGTGACACGTTGTGGATGCATTTGTTTCTCAACAATCACTCATGGATTTTCTGAACCTCAAATGCGGCAATTTTGTCGATTAACCAAGCCATCAAGATGAAAATAAGCCTCATCGAAATTCAGCTACATTTATGCAAAACGGTCATGGAAAAGTTCAACAAAAGAGTGCGTATGTGCCAGCAAAGCCGTGGAGGCCATTTACCCGATATGCTACTTCATACATAACCCTATACTGTATACTTTATGAATCAATTAAAAAATTACAATTTTTAATTATAAACCTGTGTTTTCTATCAAAATTACTTCTTGCGTGAATTTTGGGACACCCTTTAAAAGCATCTTACAAATACCACACTACTAATTTTCAAATATAGGTGGGTACTGCTATATTGAAATAAAACTTCATTGTAAAGCATTATCAAATTCACAAAAGCTTCTGGTCATTACAGTTTTTAAAAAATTTTCAATCAATGAATCACAACACATGTGGGAGATAAAATATTTTTGACAGTGTAAAGGGAACAAAGGGATCCTCATCTTTGAAAAATATTGAGAATCACTGCACTGTAGCGTTATAACTATACTGAATCCACAGCAAATTTAGTACTTTCAGGACAATGCTAAGCTGTTTAGAGTGACATCTTTATTGCTAAAAACTCATTTTTGCCATCAAAGCATTTAAAACTCTAGACAGGGAATTCAATAAACACATATGAAAGCCAACAGCCTTTTACGGTACAGGGTTGGATGAGGGAAATCAACAGAAAGTGCCATGAGAGTTCTGAGGACATAGAGGACTTCTGGCTGAGATCTTCAATGAACTAAGACTGGATCTGCATCTTTAAAGATCGAACTTAAATGGGCAGAGAGGAGAGTGACTGGTTTTCCAAAGGAATGACCTGGACAAAAACTCATGTGGGGAGCAGTTGTATTCCAAGGGCAAGATACTTGGCTCAATATAGGGGTCATATAAGGAAACAGTTGGGAGATACAGTTGGAAAAAGTAGTTTAGGGCCAAATGTTGGGGGACCTGGATGGACTAATGAGGGACATAACTTATCCTATAGGCAATTAAAAATCATTGAATAAAGATATAAAAAATGGAGCAGAGTGTAGTGTAGATTGGTAAACTGAGACAGAAATCAGAAAGTCCTATGAGGAAGCAATTTAGGGCTGAAATTGTTCAGGTCTGACTGTGAAATAGAAGCCAAAAAGAATGAGTATGAGGGAGACATTGCAAGGTCAGTCTGAATGGCAGCAGGCAATGGAGAGGAGGAAAAGATTTCCAAGTTTTTCAAGCCCAAAAGATTATCACATGGTCCAATTAGGGAGGAACCATTTGGCCTGGGGCACATCTACTTACTCAACATCCCCATAAGTTTGGTCCTGGTCCATCAGAAAGTCTGAGGCCTTTGTTTAGTGACATGGAGGAACTTTGTCTTAGTCCGAAAAAGAAATCAGAACGGTATCCCAAACTCACTACTAATCAATTCTTCAGCTGTTTGGAAGATGCCTACTTTCCCTATGGCAGTGAGACTTGAACTTGAATGCTGCCCATATCCAGGCTGTTCCCTTCCCATATCCAGGCTGTTCCCTTCACTGAACAAGTCTGATGGATTCTCCCTGGGCTTTTGGACCAGCAAGGCAAGGACATTACCTTGGACTGGGAACCTTGGTTTTGTACTGTCCCATGACTCAATTACACTGTGCAGAAGAGGCACCTGTTTGGGCTCCCTGTTGTTTTCCCACACCCTGTTTAACTCTACCTTTTCCCATTAGATGGAGAACAAGATCAACTAGGCTTTTTGCATAGTACTAGGTCCAGTTCTGAAAAGTCTTTGGCAATAGTTAAAAGTAAAGGGATCAGAGAAATGACAAGGAGGAGGACAAGGAAAAAGCTTAAGATAAACATTTTCATCCCAGAGAAGGGGAAGGAGGGTGGCATAATGATGATGAAACAATTGTCTTCAGGTACAGAAAAGTCTCTGTTGGAGAGAAGCGTGATTGTTCTCCCCTCCGGCCAAGGGCCAGCTAAGGGGAGCCAAGGGCTTAGTTAGAGCATGGGGGATTTATAGAAGATAAAAGAATTTCTTAGACAAATGCAGAAATGGGTTTCAGAGGAGTTTGGTGTAATTACCTTTGCAGGACATGGCTAAGAATAGTACAGCTCCTCTGGCAGCCGGATGGCGAAGAGGTGTTCTGTGGAAAGCAGAAGGTGAACTTGGGTTATTTCTTGTTGCCCTTTCCAGACCTCCCCTCCTCCTCCCCCCCCACCCACACACACTTCTTTTATGGTTTTATGGTAGAAATAGAAATTTCCAAACTTGGTTAAGCCCCCATGGAAGAACTCTGAATCCTTCTTCAGAGCAAAGGCTCTGGGCCAAGTCCTGATATTTTTAGAATAAAATCAGCTAGTAAAGCTGTTGCCCCAGTGGTCACCAGAGCACTGCGGTGTTGATAATTCCAAAAGCCATAGAGCCAATTTCTGACTAAATGATATCCTACGCAGTCTAAAAAATTGTTTCTTTAACTGAAGGGTTGCATGGCTGGTTTTTAATTAGAATGGATTAATACAGTGTTCCCATTTATAAAAACCAAAATTGAAAGGAAGGAAATGCAACAAGGTAATTCAAGTAAGGAAAATATTCTCCAGGATCTCTCCCACCCAAATATAACCTTAAAAAGAAAGAAAAAATAAAATAAAATAATTATTCTTTATATACCTAGACACTCTCTGTTTCTAAAATCTCACAGCTATCACATAGTTGTGTAAGTTTCATATATACATATGTGTGTGTGTATTTATCCATATATGTGTATACATATTTTATACCTATGTAATCATACATCCACATGCACAAATTGATTTCTGTGTATAACAGTATATGACAGTGTATATAGGTACCACTTTTATTCTATTTTCAGAATGGCACTAACACAGGGCTTCTCAGATAAACTACCTTTTTCCCTCTCAACTGGCTCCTTTGGAAAATTAAGAAGTTTGCATGCTAGTGCATAAGATGATCTACATGATGTTTCACTGGAAAAAATATGAAATGTGTCATTGAGTTTTCATTCTAAGAAGCATACCCAGACTAGTCTCTTACCTACATTCCTACAACAAATGCAGGATTACCCAAGAGTACCAACAAAGCAAGAGCTCAAAAGTGAGTAGAAAAAAATTTTGGGGAAGAATATGATATTCATTATTTCCCTCAAAATGCATCAAATTA